GATGTGCAAGGCCAGGACAAGGGAAACCGGAGTCGCAGAGAGCGTGAGCAGAGAAAGCAGGCACTAGCTGGTGTCAGAGGGCGACCAGACGGGACCATGCATGGATGGGCGGGATGGTATAGATCAAAGTTTTAGAGGGCGTTGTTGTGAGGATGCGTGCTGGTCAGAGGAGGTGAGTTGCGCTGCGCACTCTGGGTTGCTGCTGAGTTGAGCCTAGCGGCGGCCGAGTCGCGTCGGCTAGCGTGTGTGCGGCCGTGAGTGGTGTGCTTGGTGATGACTAAGGCGCTGTTCTCTTCTAAAACAGCCACCCATGCGGCCTGGATGCAGCCCACGCCTTAAATTAAAACACCAGTCCAGCCGGGCCTGCCCCTTGCGCTGGCTGCTGGCGAGGCGCGGGCAGCAAGGTAGGTCGGCTCGCTCCGTTGCACAGCACATGCAAGCCATCCAGTCGGGCGCGCCTCTGTGTAACCTTTGCTTTTTCTTTCTTTTCCTTTGACAGGCCGGTCCATCTCCGTCGCGTTGTTGTCTGCTACGGACCTTACACTTTCGGTAGGTAGGCAGGTACCTAACCATTTAAGGTATGGAACCTTGAAGTGATGAGAGGTACCTTAGCAAATTAGTATTCTACAGAACCGCGCCTGGCCTAATACATGAAGCGATGGCATGCAACGGTACGGGAAAAGCAAGCTGGTGGACAGGACGTGAGAACTGCTACGCGCCATGCACGTACTGGGACTGCCGTCTTAGGGACAGAGCCGCGACTGTCTACAGTATGTAGGTACCTGAATGGATGCGGCCGTGATGAACAACCCCTGCTACCCTTGCAATGCACGCAGCACGGAGGCGGGGCGTGGAGTGGACTGCGATCGTAGCCCACTCTTTTGTGCGAGGTTCCTGGCCAAGCAGCTTCGCCCTACATTGCCTTAGGTAAGGCACGTACCTGGTGCGCGGTACCGGCTGCCCGTCATTTGCTGCTCCATCAACGTCACTTGGACCCGGCATTCAAGTCGAGGTAGGGTGAGGTGAGGTTGACTTGATGCACTGATCAAACTTTTCTTCGTACAACTCTGCACCCTGAAGGAGCCTCTGATCTCTCGCGCTCTTCTCTGTGCGCACCTTCTGTATCTGCTTGCCCTCTCCTTCCTTTGTTTTTTTCCACTGTGGCAATCTGGTCCACTTCTGTCCTTCTTCAAGCTGGCGCAAACTCAAAAATCGTGAAGGCCGCTCACGCGGCTTTGCGCCTCGCCTCACAGGTCCGTTTGCATGCTTCGCAACGACTCAGCTTTAGGACTAAACAATGTCCAGCCGGGCTCTCTATCCATCACCACAGCATATTCACCACACCGACCCTCGCATTCATCATGGTTCGCACCCGTGCTGCCAACCGAACCACCACCGCAACATCGCCTGGCGTTCGAGCCAATCTTCCACGTCGCAGCCGGCCTGCCAGAAGCGCATACCTTGAAGAGGAGTCGAGCGACCCAAACGAGTTTGATGAATCCGAATCTTCCCGCGACTCCGATTCCGATGCCTCAATCGATGCGATAACCGACAATGATGATGTTGATGGCAGCACCTCCTCTATTGGTCGAAGGCGTTCAGCCCGGACTGCTGAACGCCGGCTTCGAGCATCCAAGCCAAGTCCAAGAGTAAAGGATTCCTCATCCCACACCCGCCCATCAACATCCTCTAGGACTAGGAGGGCCCTGGCAAGGTCAAATCCCGAATCTCCAACCCGACAACGCGCCAAACGGCCACTGGCTTCTTCAAATCGTCGACAGCTATCGGCAACACCCAAACGTCTCAAGATCAGCCCGCAGTTGGGTATGGAGGTATCAAATGAGCGGATTCCGGACTGGCGGGATCCCCGAGTCCCATATACTGCTTGGGTCGATATTTTCTTGCATGCTGGGGGATGGGGCGCTGAAACTGGCTGGTTGTTGCATGCTGCAACTGTCTGCAAGGCCTTTTCGGAGCCTGCCCTGACGGCTCTGTATCGTTGCCCCTCAATAAAATCCGCGGCCAAAGCAAAAAAACTCATTTCCCTCCTGGAAAAAGTGCCACAAGACTGCTTGTTCAACTACCAAGCCAAGGTGCGATTTATGTACATCAACATCGAATCTTTCCCACTGGCTATGATCGATAAAGCAGTGCGGCCCTTGAGACGGCTCAAGGAACTTATCATCTATTCGCCACTTGATCAGCCGCCGTATCGCGAATTAGATAAAACGATCCGTTGGCACTACCCGGAGGAACTGTTTCGAGCCCTTGACCGAGATGTATCATTGGCCAACGACGCCCTTCATCAGGTGGACAATCAATCAGCTATTAAGCTCAAGAGTTGGGAATGGAGCAGCCGTCTTCTTGGGGGTTTTGTTCAAGACGTTGGTGACCTGTTGCATATTCATCAACGCGAGACTTTCGCACAGTTGACAAAGCTCAGTTTTATCAACTTCCAAGTCCCATCACTGCATAAGGCCGAGATCAAGGTGGATGATGAGGCCAAGAACTTCGAGACGTATCAGGAAGACGGTGCATACATTGAAGCCATTGCAAAAGCGATTTCAGCATTGAAATTCCTCAAATCCCTGACCTTTGAATCCGCCACCGTTATGAATCATCGCCTCTTACCTCTTCTCCCGAAAGATCTTATTCACTTTGAGTTAGTGAATTGCTGGGAGGTGAGGTCAGAAGACCTTGCCTCCTTCTTGCGGACCCACGGGCATCATCTTCGTACTTTGACGTTGTTCCATAACCAATCCTTAAATCTGGCTTTCCTGACCGACTTGGCCGAGACATGTCCTCAGCTCCAGGAGCTTCGCATGAATCTATCCTACTTTCGCCATCACGAATCAGTAGATGACTCGGACCCGAATTATGAATCTGCGTTGCAACTAACACAGTTGCCTCTCTGGCCGTCGACTCTCCGTGTCATCGAGATTGAACATGTCCGGAACTGGGGTGTGGAGACGGCTGAGATGTTTCTGAACTCATTGGTTGACAGTGCCCCTAACTTGATGAACCTCCGTCATTTGGCAATCAAAACCATGCTGAACATACCATGGCAGAGGCGAGCAACTCTGCGTCAAGAATGGCGTGAGAAGTTGGAGAAGGTTTTCCTTCGTCCGTGGCATCCACCCAACGACGTTCAGTTCACTGAGGCTAGCGATATAAAGACGACGAGTATGGAGTCAAGAGACCCCGTTTCCCCGTCACGCCGAAGTGTCAGAATTGCATCAAATGGCTCTGATTTGAGCCGTGGAGATACAGATATGTCCGGCCGTCTCCGAGAAAATCGCAAAAAGCCTCTGTATCGAGAACCAGACACCGATGAGGATGAAAATGAAGATGAGAGCCCCTCTGACTCAAACCATGATCAAGAGCGTGATGAAAGGCCGCACAGCGCCCACGTCGACTTCGTTCAAGGCATGTGCAACACCGTCAGTATCTTGTTCGACAACCAGAAAGTGAGAGAGATCCAGTATGGGATGGAGGACTTTAATGATGATGATGATGAGTCCTCTGGCGAAGAGTGGGCTGGCGACCGCGATGTCGATGACCCTGTGTTTGTATGGAAATGATTGATGATGGTACCCTAACAAACATGTCTACTACGCACATACTCCATAGCTGGCTGAAGTAAGCCACGGTAGGCTACGCGTGCGAGGATAAAGTCATGAAACTCTCAACAAGAAAAAGCAAAAAGAGAACTAAAAAATGAATGAATGAATGAATGAAACAAACGAACAAAGAGGCATATGGAGACTCATGTAGCTGAGATAGACAATTACTCAAGAACATGATATTTCCCCAATTATACCACCGATGAGGCATGTGCGTGTATAATAGGTTCATTATTAACCCCCCTCTATTATGTAGGAGGAAGCAATGCAGTGGGTATCTCTGTCTGGAGCTAATAAATTATCATACAATCACATAACCTCGACCCTGACTAGGTAGTTATGGACGTCTTCTGGGTTTTGTTTTACGGGCTCAAAAGGACTCCTCTTCTTTCGTCTAAAATGCTGCACCACCCATGCCCTCTCCAGCCAAGTTTTTCATGCTCTTCTCACTAAGATCACTCCGCATCTCCCATGCTTTAGCCTCGCGCCCAAGACGATCCCAATGGTATAGACTTTTCCGCACTCTCTCTTGTTTTATGCGGAGCTCCTCACGATACTTCTCTTCTTCGTCCCTCAGCTTCTTGAAATGTGGTTCAAGGTCGCGTGTGACTCCTAATATTAGAGGCGTCATGGAAGGGTCCAGTTTCCCTCCAGGAATGATCGGGGGCATTGTGGCGAGCAGACTCTGAGCAAGGGTCTGGCGTGGTCCCCCGCCATGGCCAGCAGCCGGGCCTGTGGGTGGGTTGAACGGTCGAGCCTGGATCGGAGTTGATGAGGTTGGTCCATTTGATGATGATCGTGGCCCAGTAGGGGCATTGGAAGGTCCGGTGGGAGTTGACGGGGATGGGACAGAGCTGGATAGATGCCGCGCTGTAGGTTGGCTCCAAGTTCCACCCCTTCCTCGGGAGGCGTATGCGCCTCTGGCGGGTGGTATATATCCCCTTGGCCCAGCTGGTGGCTGTGTTGGGCTCGGCATTTCCGCTCGATTGGCCTGGGAGTTATGTGGCGGGGGGTGTTTCGAGGTATGAGCAGGGGTGGAGTTGGCTGATAGAGTGCGGTTCGCTGCTGGGCCGGTTGGCGGACGTAAGGCTGCAGGACCGCGAGGAGGAGACTTGACAGCGGGGACCGGCTCACTTGGTCCAGAACGAGGCATCTCTCTGGGAACAGATATTCGGTTTGATGTAGAATGCGAAGGTGAATGATTGCTCGAAGGATAGGGTGATCGGGCTCGACTTGAGACTGGTCGTGGTGAGGATTTTCTGGATGTTGGCTGAGATGCGGCAGGTAGCGGGGCTGCTGATTCTATAGGAGGAGAGCTGCGTCGGTAGGCGTGGTACTGGTTCCCGGGGCGGCTGGGCGACCTTGACGGCCTAAAGTTCATGGCCCGATTGCCAGGAGGTGGTGAGCCTCTGCCTGGCGGACTAGGCCCACGGCGATCTCGAATGTACGGGGAGCGCGACCTCCTCCTAGGCATTGTCAGAGAAGTTTCTGCGTGACGGACCTCATGAGATCCTGCATACCTTTCATCGAGTCTATCGCCACGGCGGTCGAAATCTCGGCCCCTATCATGTGAACGATCGCGCTCCCTATTCCAGTCTCGAGGTCGTTCTGGCTCGCGCTCTCTAGGGCGCATATCACGGTCGCGATCGCGCTCCCACTCGCGCCGAGGGGGAGATCTCGGCCGTTCAAATCGATCTGATCGGACTGGTGATATTCTTCGCGGAGTACCCCTTCGAGACATGCTGCGCCGGGGTGGAGAGCGTCTGATGGGGGACCTGGTTCGTTCGCGTCTACGAGGACTTTCGCGATCTCTCGATCTATCACGACGATAGCGGTCGCCTCCTACTCCAGGTCTACTCTGTGATCGTCGACGAGGGGCGTATCTGTTAGGCACGTAACTATCAGAGCCCGACATGACTGGACTTCGTGGGCGTGGACTTCGAGGTCGCACGCGGTCTCCCTCCCTGGGCGGGCTTCTGGGACGTCGAGGAGGAGATCTATCCCCAGCTGGCCCTCTAGGCGTGGGCCTCCAAGACTCGCCAGCACCATATCTGACAACTTCGCCGTCATCGAACCTGATCAAGATGGTTAGCTACTACCGGGAAGGTCAGACAAATAGTATGAGGTACACGAACCTTCTTCCCCGATCACGATCCATGATTGATACTGAGAATTTGACCAATGTCGCGACTTATCTAAAAGCCACAGTTGATATTATATGAAGCTCTCCTCTACACCGTTCTGGCATGGAGCTGGCGTGCGCTCATGCTGCATCAACACTAAACGCGGTCTGGCCAAAAAAAAGTGGACGGAGATTGTATTTTTCCGTCGCCGGAGGTTGTGTGCGATAAGATAAAAGAAATCAAAGTGCATGCACCAATCGCTGGATGCTTATTCATGTCTGCGTGGTTAGCGCCACTGGCACGGAGTTGGGCATCGAATATTCGGCATGCTGGGTACCAAGCTTCCGGCAATCCTCGCTCGAGCGGCGATATATTTCATGTCTTGTCGGCTTTTTCTCGCAATCGAGAATACGGGCGATCAGCAAGAAAACTAATTCGGTAGTTTGTTGGGGGCTCTAGGCCCCTTCCATACATATCGCGGCTTGCTCCGAATGCAAGGCACGAGACCTGGATGGATGTAGACCGCCGGTCCAGTCTGGATACGACGACACACCGTTGAGTAAAGCGAATTACAAAGAAATGTGGGGAACCAATCAGGAACACTAGATAAGCTGTCGCTCCAAGTGGGACATGTCAACGGGTTCCCCAGAAGATCAACTTTTCGTTGCGAACTTGGTAATAATAGGGTTTCGAGACTACCGAACGACCGAACGAGATTCATTCCACTGGGTAATTGTGGTTTCCATTTCGTAATACCCATGAGAAAAGCAATGTCCCGTCGGCAGGTTTTTACAGGCCGGGGCGGCTACGGTAGCATAGCGATTATCCCATTGAATCGACTAATAGGTTTGGGTCGGGTGGTGCTCCAGGTCAAAAGTAGGTTAAAAAAGATGTGCAGATAGCCAGCACGGTCACCAAAGCTGCTCCCCACGGGGACGAAAGGAGCCACTGGCTGGGAATAGGACACTGACATCCTGGTAGCGCCATTTTCAAGAGTTGTATTGGAAACAAGGGGCCAGGTATTGGTTAGTGAAGCTATCAACAAATATCAACGTCCGTCACCAACGACAAGCGACGGCCCGGGTGTGGTGCTGATAAGACATCGGACACTGCGACCCGGGCCGTACATTGAGTACGTACTGCTCCATCAACACATGCATCGCATCACGTCGACGACAATCCCTACATGCACTCCACCGGTCCCATACGTAATGTAATGCACAAGGTATTGCTGAATTCACGAATTCTTGCACAGGTATGCGCAGGACGCAGCCGAGAACGAACTCGCCCAAACAGGCTACGGGCAGCTGTTGATCTGGCTGATAAGAATGCTTCGGAGCGTCGCCGGAGAGGCCTACAATGAACTGGACCCTCCCTCGGAGAGACGAGACCGACGGTGATTCGAGGGGACCTTAGCCCTCACGGTAGCTTGTACGTAAATCGGAACATGTCGTGCGTAAAATTGCCGCAAACGTAGCGGCGCCGAGTCATTCTGGAGCGAAGCTTTGGGGCCATGACTGGCTGAGCCTCGTCTCGACTGAGGCCCTAGCGGGGGGGGCGAGACACCTGAATGCGCGCTGAAGGTCTGGGTGCCTGGGGAGTCCGCTACGGGTGTGTATTTTTGGCACTTCGCTTTGAGGTGAGAAAATTTGGCGCGCAGGTGGCGGAGTGGACGAGGTACAGGTACAAGTACTTCGGCGGGGCCTACGGTACGGCGGGTAGGTACTGTCTCTACCTGACGGCCGGCAACCCGATACCTGTCCACTGCCGGGAGCGCCTTTCCAACGGGGGTGCCGCACACGGTCGCCCATGTCACCGGCACCCTACCACAGGGTCACCGAAGGGCCATTAGGTAACTCTACGTGCCAGTGGGGACGCAGCACACTGTACTCGGGACGCCCTTTGGCCGCCCGTCGAGCACAGTGCCAAGGGGGTTGGCTGTGCATCACCCCCCAATATCCATCCATGCACCAATCCTTGGGCAGCCTTGAGCCAGCCAATCCGACGCACCACCACAATCTCGGGCACAAGGCGACCCCACTCCCTCCCTGGGCCTACGGCTTGCAGAGGCCGCCTCCAGCCAGTCCCATTCTTTTCCTGCTTATCTTTATCTCGTTGAATGAGTGGGGCTGGAGATGCGGGAGGAGCATCCCCCGCCGATAGCCATCCAGCCAGTTTTTTGTACTACAGCCACACGTAGTCTCGAGGTAGATAAAAGCCCACGGACCGCCCCTCTCTACCGATGGCTCTTCTCAACTCCAATTCCCCCTTATCCCACTTGATCATCCATTGTGGTCTTTTTCTCTGCCTGTCTTTCACCCTCTCCTAGTTATTCATTTCAAATCCACACATACCGCAGCCATGGTGAGTATCCTTGCGGCACTGGTTGCCCCCTGTTGCCCTCGCTCAAGCAGAGTGCTAATACAATGCAATAGGCTACATCACAACCCCTCGTTTCCAGGACGGAAACCCTCAAGAAGTACCTCAGCCTCGAGCAGAAGGGCAAGATCATGGCTGAGTACATCTGGATCGATGCTGAGGGTTCAACCCGCTCCAAGTCAAGGGTGAGTCTTACACAACTAGTGCCCCGCCGAGACCGGCATGATCCTAACCAGCGTTCTCCAGACCCTTGACGACAAGACCTACACCCCCGATGAGCTCCCCATCTGGAACTTCGACGGTTCGTCTACCGGTCAAGCTCCCGGCGACAACTCCGATGTTTACCTGAGACCCGTTGCGGTCTTCCCTGACCCTTTCCGCGGCTCTCCCAACATTCTTGTCCTCTCTGAATGCTGGGATGCCGATGGTTCTCCCAACAAGTTCAACTTCCGACATGAGTGCAAGAAGGTCATGGACCTCCACTCTGAGAAGAAGCCTTGGTTCGGTCTTGAGCAGGAGTACACCCTGCTTGGTGACGATGAGCGCCCTTACGGCTGGCCCGCTGGTGGTTTCCCTGCTCCTCAGGGCCCTTACTACTGCGGTGTTGGAACCGGCAAGGTCGTCCAGCGTGACATTGTCGAGGCTCACTACAAGGCCTGCTTGTACGCCGGTATCAACATCTCTGGCACCAATGCTGAGGTCATGCCTGCCCAGTGGGAATTCCAGGTCGGCCCCTGCGAGGGTATCGAGATGGGTGACCACCTCTGGGTCGCGCGCTTCATTCTCTACCGTGTTGCCGAGGACTTTGGCGCTAAGGTGTCTGTTCACCCTAAGCCAATCCCTGGAGACTGGAACGGTGCAGGGCTCCACTCTAACTTTTCGACCGGACCAATGAGAGTCGAGGGTGGCATGGCCCACATTGAGGCCGCCATCAAGAAGCTCGAGGGCCGCCACAAGGAGCACATTGCCGTCTACGGCGAGAACAATGAGCTCCGTCTCACTGGCCGCCACGAGACTGGTTCCATTGACCAATTTTCCTGGGGTGTTGCCAACCGTGGTGCTTCAATTCGCATTCCCCGTGAGGTCGGCACCAAGGGCTATGGCTACTTCGAGGATCGTCGCCCCGCCTCCAACGCCGACCCCTACCGTATCACCCATCTGTTGATGGAGACTTGTTTCGGTGGTGCCGAGTAAATTGAAAGAGCGTGTGCACGGCATATTGGGTTTATCAGGAGTTTTCACACGATGGGTATGGGATTTTCTTCTTCCGTTATATTACCACTATAGAGCATTTGCTAGCTGGCTTATGGACATAATGAGACAATTCCAAATGGGAATTATATTTTTCACTCAATCATCTATTCAATCTATCGTGCATGACATGCTACTGCAACCTTGTTTTTTTTCTATTGGCCTATGTTGCGTAGAACACGACGTCATGATTTTGTTGCTACTATAACGGGATAGAGCGAAGGCGCTCGCGATCAGTTACCTAATAGTATGTCATGGATCGATCTAACGAACGAATTCAGGAACTTGGCAACTCATGTGCTCATATTCGGCGATCCCTTTCTTACCCTCGGCACAAATGATGAAAAGGCCGTCTGGCCCCTGTGACAATTACTACCGGCAACAGGGGTAAGCCTAGCGACGGCCTTACATCATCAAGCGCTTCGTATCCAACGGCCGTAATGTGTGGCGAGGCCGAGACTCTTTTGGGCGCAGCAAGCGAGCAGTTTGCCGGGTCCGGTTTTATATTTTAAAGTTCTCGTAGCTGCACGCCGGGTATCACGAACCGTGGCGAAGTAGGCATATTACGTATTTAAAGATTCCACAATTCGGTGACGCCAAGCACCGTATCTTGTCGTCAAGTGATTGTTGCCGCTTGTAGCCGTTCAAGGAGATATATGCTTTCGGCTGAGGCATCATGGAAAGAAAAGAAGACTTGCCTCGGAATACCTAAAGCAAGGAAAGTCAGGGAGGAAGCATGCCTCCTCCTCATGTGATGTTACTAAACTTACCCTCCCCTGTTTCTCATAAGCTGAGCGGCCTTGGGTCCGTAGAATCACGACACTATATTTAGTTGGGGTTTACAAGAGTGTTTTGATCCCGCCAAAGACCTGGCGAAACAATATTGCTCTCACGAAATTCTTATCGAATTATCACTAGGTAGGTACTTGAATATTATTATATTAGGCGTCAATTAACTAGCGAATGGATTGAGCGCATTCAACTTGTAATTCGGATATAGAGTGATTGGATCGACTTGTCTCTACATGCTACGGGTGGACTTGAAAGCGGTGAAGAATAGGGAGGCGTCGTTGAAAAAAAGGATAGGTAACAGCCGAGGATTGGAGTTGATGATGAAGTGGAGGAATCACATGGCGTTAAGAAACTTTATCTTTCGGTTATTCCGCGCTGGCAGTTGTGTGTTCGCTCTGATTCTCATGTATCGAACTGAACACATCTGTATCAATAGTTGCGAACAAGTATGAAATCTTGGCCCCTTGAAGCTAAGTAGATTGTTTACGACATGGGACCAAGAAGTACATGTATGGTCGTTTTCCAGCATCTTGATCTGGTCGGCAGTATTTCGCAGCGGCTGTATCACTTCCCCTATATCTTCTAACTTCTCTGTCTCCCTGGCTTTATCACGACGAATGGTTCCAATAAATCTCAAGTTTCGATCTGGCTTGGCTTCCGATGTGCAAATGACACCAATGCCAGCATCTAGGCCGCGATGACGCCATCCCCTGGCCGATCCAAAAACAAAGACCCTTGAAAAGCAAGGGTAGGATTCTCGCCGTTGCACTGTGTGCGCTTTGTTGCGTCAATACTGTTGAGGCAGTCTCACGATGCCTTTCTCATACGTAATGCAAACACAATGCCTGAAAGATGGGCCCTGGTCAGCCCAGAAGCAGACTAACGCAGACATTTTCAGCTCTTTGCCAATTCTAGGTGATGCTCTTCACCGTGACGCAAATGGATGCAGTACACCGCCATGATATTAGTTTATTTTGCCCTGTCAACCACGTAACTGTACGCGGTCCTTCCTGGGGTTCGCCATAGACCTCAGAGGCTGCAGATAACACGAGACTATGAACAGAGCAAGCACATCTCCGTCTCCATCTTCTCCAACCCCCATCCTCTCTATCTCCCCCTCGCTATGTCGTAAACCAGAGAGGAGCAAGAAATAATGTTTCCCAAAGCAGACATGCAGAGAATCTGAACCCCCTGCTACAGTCTAGTCTTCTTCCTCCGTAGTCTGTCCATCATCCTCACTGCGCACTCTCTCCGAGATCCACTCTTGGACCTCTTTCGAGTGTCTCTCCATCATCTTGGTCAACCCAAAGGCGTCGCTTTTAATCACGGTTCCGAACCGGCGCTTGTTGACCTTCCGTGTCAGGTCAGGGTCTGACCAGCATGCATGGTTGCCAGCAACGTAGACGCGAGAGTTTTCCTTGTACCATGGAGACAGCCTCTCGTCTACGTCGGACTTCACTGGCCTGAGATTTCCCGTGACAAAATTGACCACGCCAGAGATCCTATCTTTGCAATCTAAGAAACGGAGCAGTTAGCATCAATAAGTTTAAACGAGGATGAAAATACAGGCAATGCTGAGTTTGAGAAAATGGAATGTTGCTCACCCCTGTTTATGAGAAGCACCTTGACGCCAAGATACGCATTACCAACGCCCATAACGATTAATTCCTCAAATTCATACATCTGGAGATAATTGTCCCAGAGATAGCAGACCAGGGCTGACACCTGCTGCTTGAGCTCGCGTTCCTGCGACGCAGGGGTGAATGACTCAGTGTCCTACCAAACAGGTTTAGTATTCACCTTGCGTGGTGTCGAGTAGCAGAGAGGCTGGGGAAGTTATACTTCTTCTTGAGTAATGTATGCTGGTATGTTGATGTCCATCACCCCAAACTTCTCCTGTATTGCCCAATCAATGTACTGGGTTACGCCATCGACCTTGCACATTTGTCAGTACGATGAGTCCAACCGGTCACAGGCAGGAATAAAAGAAGCAGGATAGAAGCTTACCACCCAAGAGTTGTGAGGTTCTATCGTCGTGTCAATAGCATCGTGCTGTGCCAACAACTCGGGCCTAATGGACCTAGTTAGAACCGTTTCGCTTGCCCCCCTTTCCATACATTCGCTCCAACTAAACATGTATTTGATCAAACTTACGGGTCGTGAATGATTAGCAAAACCTTCTTTGAATCTTGTATATTAGGTGTGATCAAGACCTGATTCTCAAAAGACTTGTACAAAACCTCTCTCTGCACGTAGAGCGGGATCATGTTATGTTTCTCTTGCAGTATCTGTCGCTGGGCATTTCTGATCACGTCGTGTAAGCGGCTGCCTCGCATGTTTTGCACTTCAGGGACGTTGACTACGCCAGCTCGCATGCATTCCCAGTAGGGAGCTTGATGGGCTTGAACTTTGGCAAGAACTCTGGCGGCTTCCCTGTTAATTTTGGGGATCGAAATTTTTGGCGGAGGCTCGCCCATGAGCGTCTTGGCCACAGCTACAGCTGAGTTTGATATGGCTTTCAAATTGTACCCGCCCTCGAGGCACACAGCCAACTTGCCATTAGCAAGGGACATGAGCATATGCGTCATGTGAGCATAGCAAGGAGGGGTAACGAAACAGCCACCGAGCTCGTCTCCATCTGCAGCGTCGAATCCGGCAGAGATGACCACCAAATCGGGCTCGAATTCTTGGGCGATGGGCATGATGATCTTTTGAAAGGCCGCCATGTATTCTCCATCCCCCATACCTTGATCATGCCAGCCAATGTTTACATTCCTCCCAAGCCCTGAACCAATGCCGCAATGCTCAATGCCTCCGTCTGGGGTCATCGGGTTAGGCGGCTTCCCAGGATAGAAATGGCCGTTCTGATATACATGAAGTGAAATGTAAAGTACATTGGGATCATCATAAAATATGTTCTGCACTCCGTTGCCGTGGTGCACATCCCAGTCTAGAATGAGCACCTTGCGGCACTCCTCCGGGTAGTCTTGCTGGCAGACCTTGACAGCTACAGGGACGTTGTTGAAGAAACAAAAGCCCATAGGCGTATCGAACTCGGCATGGTGTCCAGGTGGGCGGATGACCGCAAATGCATTTTTGACATTGCCAACAACCACGCTCTTGCACGTCTCAATGGCACCTCCTGTTGAGAGACGAGCAACGGGATGAGACATGCCTCCGACATAGAGGGACTCGCGGCCTTGGTCGTACCGTTTGGTGAGATCTCTCAACTCAGCCGTACTGAGATTGTCAAGATTCTCAACCCAGGCAAGATGATCAGGTGAGTGAGCCAGGCAGATCTCTTCTCGCGTGGCGCTCCGAGCTGGGATCCGCCACATATATCTGGTTGGTGTCTCCTTCAGGATTCGAGGGAGATCAGCATCAGGCCCGTTGTAAATTAGCCCTGCTCTTTTGAAGGCCTTGAAGATTTCGTGGATCCGGCGAGGGTCCTCAGGGTGGTGAGCGCTTGGGCTAAAGTCGGCATTCATGTGCATCTTCATGCGAACATCGTAGCAGCATCCTGTGGGCAGAAGCCCTCTCCTACGTAGTTGCTGCAGCGTCAAGTCTTGGGCATCAGGCTCCATCTGGGCATCGGAACTGCCTGACTCAGAGACGGTGTCGTCCTCTTCATTGGAACGCTTCGCGTTGACGTCCTCTTGGCTATCTCCATTGGTGTGGGCAGCATCCTTCATGGGATGGTCATCAACATCCATGGCTGCGGCCTCTTGCATCATGGCCCTCTATGTTTCTTTGTCCGGCTACTTGTAGGTAGGCCTAGGGACCGCCGGCAGGGCACCCCAGGCTGCACAACCTCAGCTCAAAGCCAGTTGTGTGAAATGCACAAGGGCTGGTGGTAGGGGTTAGTGTACTGGATTGTGGCCTTAGGTTGGCCTGGGAAGAGACAGAGGGAAGAGGCTGATGCTCCCTTGGCCTTTAAAAAAGGACTCTGGCTGGCTGGCTGGCTGAATGGGCTTTCGGGAGCCGGCGATCCTATTCCCGAAGTCAGAGACAGAACTATACAGTATGAGAATATAGGTTCAAAGGGTTGCGAAGCTGAAGTGAGAGCAAGGAGGGTCTGAGGCGACGTGAAGGACAACAACTGTACGGCAGTAACAGCGACAACAACGGCGACCACGACAACATTGATGAGAAAGGCACGCTCACGTAAATGCAGACGAGGATTGGCCGATGCACTGACAAAGTAGGCAGGCCAGATCAGACAGGCAGAGGACTGGCGGCGGTGCAACACAAGCCAGCAAACTCAGGGTGCATGCATGCCGACGGGGGGAACAAGCTAGCCTACTGACCTCAGGCATGAACCTAATAAATTCTCCAGGGGGTGGCAGCGGATCGGCAGAGGCTGCGAGGCTGCGCGATGCGGCGCTGAGTCGCTGCGTTGGATTGGTTGGGCTGTAAGTGAGTGCGATTGAATCAAATGCAGAAGACGGGAAAAGGGAATTCGCCAGATTGGGTCGACTGTTGTGGTGGTGGCTGGCTCCGGGGTTTGGCCGCTGAACCACCTCTCAGAGATTATCACCCCCAACCCGAGCTCGCCTCACCTCGCCTACGGGACAGTACTTGGACGTGGTCAGATGGGTGAATACTTGGATGCGCTCTTCTGAAATAGAATAACGTTTAGGAAAAGAGCCAGACAAAGGGCATTGTCATAGTGAGTATAGGTAATCAGACGTCTGCTACTTCTTGTCTCATGACTAGATTGGCCTTCTATTTCCCTTCTATGTGCATGATTCTAACCTCTAAACCTCTGTCTCATACCCTCCCTTCTGCTGCTGCACGGATTGAAATTTGATACGGCTCTGCGTTTCCCATATGGTCGAAAAAGGGGCGGCCAACAGCATGCCACTTAGAGACACACCTCGATCTGGTACACAGTGTGCACACAGCGCAAGGCGTTTTCAACACGCGAAGCCCGGTTTCCTTCACTACAAAACCATCTGGCTGGGCGGAACAACCCGGCTGCCCCCCCATGTTTGAGCATGCTGGTCCTCGAGCCACGAGCCATCGTCGCCCCGGGGAGAATACTGGGAGAGTGACCGAACAAACTTGGAGCCGGGTGGAAGCAATCCATCAGGGCTCCCATCCTTGCCGTACAGCAGCCGCTCGTCGTCTCTTTCGTCATCAAAATCAATAATCCCCCCAGCACTGTCCTCGGCCAGACTTGGGACCTTGTCAAGCCACTGCCTCTCATCCAGTGCACAACGAACGGCAATCTGGATCGACTCTTGATCAAAAGTAAAGTTGGGGTGCCGTAGACGTATCTCGGATATGAGCCGCTTCCTTGGATAATTGTAAATGTTCTCAAAGTAGTACATGAGATCCTTGGGCCCCAATTTGGCATAAGTCTTTACTATCCGACTCCAATGGCTTTGATCCATCCAGCTATCGGTCAATGACTGCGCCCTGTCAACGCTGTCAATCAGAGCCGGCTGATCGGATGACTTGAAAAAAGGTAATGTTAGTCAGGTCCTGTATAGAAAATCATGACATGATACTTACGTGATGTTGATCATTGGGATCTAGACGAGGGCAGATGTAATGCAAAACAACATCCTTCATCGTCTCCACCAAATCCATTAACTCTAACAAATCACTGGTCGAATGATATCGCATCTGGCTGATCCGGATATCATCAACATGTGGTTCTGGAAGGCCAACTCGAGGTCGAGGCAAATCTCCATGGAAGTAGATCCCATAAAGCCACCAGCGATATAGAGCCCTGCGAAACCGCTCCTTCTCATGCACCCGCAGAAGACGGCATCGCTCAGGATCGTAGAACCATCGCATCTGAGGAAACAATTCCTCCCACTTGCGAACCAGCTGACAATGCTTGATGATGGGACCAAGGTCTGAGTCTTTCAAGACATGTGTCTTCTGATGTAGAAGCCCTACGTCAGCTTTGCCGATCTGAGTGAAGCCACGAACGTTGTGGTCGATGTTGGTCATGGGCGGTGCTGGGGGCGGTGCCAGGTGAATTCCAACATCCCCTTGGAAGCGCTTGAATACAACCTTGCGAGATTGATAAGCGGCCCCTTGAGTGCAAATGAGATCATCCGCTGATGCTGTATAAACCTGAAGAAGTTCATGAAATGGACTAAATTCACGTGCCATCACCGGTAACAACACAGTCGCCTTGTTGTTGATGAAGAGCTCATAGAAATATCGACTTGCTAGACAGAGTTTATAGATACTTCCCACATCGAGCTGCTGATAAATGTCGAGCACAATCTCACTGGGCATACCCAAGAGACTTTGGGCCTGGCCAACGGTTGACTCCATGGCGAAGTAAGCTTTTCCTCGACGATCAAGCGCAAGTGATGAAAGCCCCTGCCGAAAATTGCAGTTAAACTGGAATGTTCAGTTTGAGACTGAAAATGGCCAGAAATAAGGGAGACAATCGTCTGATGGGTAGGTTATGCTGCCCTCTGGGTAGTAGTGAATACGCAAGCTACCGGACGTAAGTAAATGGAAAGCGAGAGACAGGAAAATACTTACAGATGGATGGAATAAGCGGTTAAAGCCCCTCGAGATGACTGGGTAAGAAAATGCAAACGCCGAAGGCTGAACGGCGCGTTAGAGTGAGATGAGTGCGCTGCTATGAGTGAAAGACCCTTCCCAGAATGAGAGAGATCAACACAGGATTCCAGCAGATAATAACTACGCGTACGTAGCAGAATTGGAGGCCGTGACTCCCTGGAGGCTCCACGGCTGTAAAACCGAGAACCCACGAATTCCCAAATGCCTACTGTCCGACCACCCCAGCGTTGGGGCTTGAAACGGAAGGGGGGATATACTGCGAAAATAGTTTGAAAGTGTCCATTATGGAAGAAGCGTGGAAACCCCTCTCAGCCATGATTGATGGTCTAAGAAAGAAGATTTCTGTTTTGGAGCAATGATGGCAAGGGATCTATGTTGACATGATGTCGTTTAGATAGGAGTAGATAAGCAGTATCAATTAGCCGAAATTTCGCCGGGCACTCACCACTGCCAGCCGCAAGCTTTAACAAGGTAGGTATGGAGGTAGAGTAAAGCCACCAGGCACATTGAACAGGATACAATACAATTTTGAGACCGTTTTTTTTTTCGAACGCCAACTCCTCCGCCGACGGTATATTCACTCGCATTATCAAACCTCCTATGCAAACAGCATCTTTGTATCCGTTTCGTCTGGCTGCCTCTCGTGTCCAATGTTTGATCGGAGACCCAGATCGCCCTTCTTCGAAAGCCTCTCCCGCGTTTGCTCCGATCTACCGTTGTGCTTGGTAGCCTTCAATTTTCTCATATCCGAGCGGACTTGATTTGGCGTAACGAAGCTCTTGTTGGAAAATATGAGCGGGCCTCCGAAAGAGCCCTCAGAAATATAGATGGGAGTGAGCACGAATCTGGGTCCGATTTCGATGAGGCTGAGGTCGGTATCCTTGGTTGCGTCGGCTTCGGCTTCGGCAGGCTTTACTTTCGAGGCCTCTTCCTCATTAATCTGATAGTTCCTGACCCAAATCTTCCCATCCACAACACTGAAGCTCATAACGTGATCGATGAAGGGTTTAGACTTTCGAGCTCCTTGGGGAACACCGAATATACGCTGGAATTGCGCTCGAATGACTTGCAGATGGGGCTGTTTATCGAAGGCGGCATCGAATGAGAGAATTGGTCGCGACCCTTTGAGGCAGTTGCCAGTGAAATGAAGTTCCTCCATTGTGTGCACTAAAATAGGGACTGTTAGCATTGGGTGGCTGGAACAAAGGAAACAGCCGATGACTTCTCACAATTCTGGACGTGAAACTGGGAAGAAGTTAGTAAGTTGAACGACATTGAGCAATCGAGAGTATGATGTGGGAAGCAAGTGAAATGAGTGACTGGCGTAGGCCAAAGATGTTTCGGGGGTTGAACTACGAACTTTGATGGTTGGCCCGTTGGGTACAGACGAGCAATGCAAGTAAAGGTCTTGGCCTTTCCTCGCTTCGAAGAATAGACAATTGTTGCAATTGAAGAGTTCGCACAAGCTATTCAGTTCATAAAGCTTGCTTTTGGAGTCGAACTTAGCATCCTTGCGGCCATGCGGGAGCATAGAAGCGAGATCGTTCAGAAGATGGCGGTGTCTACATATGTTAGATTAGGTAAATTGAGTAAGGTTTGGAGGAAGACATCATACCGGAATGTGACGCCTCGAGAAGACAGAACCAGCACTCGTTGCTTGTTCTTCTTGATGCCATTGTCATCTGTTGTCGCGGATTTCTTGCTGTCCTTCTTGGACAGAGACTTATATACTGCTGCCATAGTTTGCGACACACTTGTCGGAACAATCTCGCGACTAACGGCGCAGAGTCGCTAAATGCAAAAGATAATTTGAAGTGGTTTGCAGCGAATTTAAGATCGCAGCTGGTGATGGGAGAGCGACCAAGGAAAAAAACATTTGAGTGGAGGCACTGATAAGAGTTTATCGCTGTGGGTACCGGCGAGGCTCCACCATTCCAGAGGAAGGTAAGGTACCATCAGAGAAGCGACAATCACAACATTTGAGTTCCCCTGTCGCTATGTGTGTCTTTCTAAATGCCAGGGAATTGAACAACAATCCATCCTACCATTCTTTCAGGGCCACCCTCAGAGGTTGGTCGGGTCTTTCGGTTGCGAGTATTATGCGTGTTTTGGCGGCATTGATTACCTTGTAGTCTGCATCCCAGAAGTACCTCCGTTTTACGTACCTCACGGTGAACTCCGTTTTGTTGGTGGATGGCGGGGGCGGTGCTAGTTAGGGGTCCAGGCATCAAGTAAGATGTGGCATCAACGTGCTACCTTCTTTATGGTTGCCTAGAGCAAGCGGACGCTCAGTGTCAAAGGAATGCACGCGAAGCGTTTTAAAACCAGGCATTAACGAATTCATTCAGCTACATCAGGTATAGGGTTATAGGCAGTGATCATTGCATGCATCCGAACCCCCCCGCGCAGGTTATTGTTGGAGCATGATGTCGAATAGAAGAAAGTCGGAATGGTTGGCGCCCTCTCATATCAAAGAAAATAAAAAACAAACAGTGTGATCTCGTCCTCCCTAACGAACTGCGCCGAATTCCCTCATTACATGGCACAAAGAATATATCGGGAACATGGTGAGACGCCTGATGAATGTCTACCCCCAATAGCCCTGCGATTCGTCCGAAAAAAAGAAGACAGATTTAACAGCATTTCCCGCCCTTCGAAGCATCGTCGTCAGTAGTAGTCTTGCTCAACGTAATGCCGGCATTGATCGTAGCCTGTGCATCGCCACTGTCGAGAGCCTTGCTGGAGACAATGCGATAGATCTCTGTAGATATCCAGGGTCAGCGGCAAATGACGTGAATGCGCCACATGTATCGAACATACCTGTCAGGATATTCTGGAATGCGAGCTCGACATTGCTGGCGTCGAGGGCGGAGGTCTCAATGAACGATAGATGGTTCTCGCCTAGCAAGCAGTGGTTAACAATTTCAGTCGCATCCGTGAGATAATGGCGGTGACATACTGGCAAATGCCTTGGCTTCCTCGGTTGGCACCGCCCGCAGATGTCTCAAATCGCTCTTGTTTCCGACGAGCATAATGACGATGTTGGCATCGGCATGATCTCGAAGCTCCTTGAGCCAGCGCGTCACGTTTTCGTAGGTCTGGTGCTTGCTGATGTCGTAGACGAGGAGGGCTCCAACCGCACCGCGGTAGTAAGCGGAGGTGATGGCACGGTAACGCTCTTGTCCAGCAGTGTCCCAAATCTGAGCTTTGATGGTCTTGGAGTCGACCTGAATTGAGCGGGTTGCGAACTCGACACCGATGGTGGACTTGGAGTCGATGTTGAACTCGTTGCGGGTAAATCGGCTCAAAAGGTTAGATTTTCCGACGCCAGAGTCTCCGATGAGGACGACTGGATACGAGGGAGTGATTAGCGGTGATGCGCTGAGGCGACGCGGTCTACTGTGAAATCAGGGGGGGATTCTGCTTTCGCACCTTTGAACAGGAACTGGGCAGCGGAGAAGGCAGGTCAGCAGGAGCTCTCATCAAAGCGAAAGAATAGCAAGCGGCATGGAGATTGGGATAGCATACATCGTATTCGTCGTTGGCCATGTTGATATTGGGGTTTGCTGTTTGGTGATGGCGTTGATCTGAATGATTGTGTGTAGTTGTGATTCTTGATCAGAATAGTTAGAGGCAGAGCTGGCAGTTTGGCATTTGAGAGAGGATGTGGAGAGAGGAGGGATGCGCCGTAAGTCCTGGCGTAAGACTCGTGGCTGTTAGCCGTAGATAGGCGACACCTGCTACCAAAGGTACATGCCTCCTAGCGCGTTGGCACTGAGCGGGCCTAGGTACCTTCTGTCAGCACGGCTTCCAAACGTCACATGCACCATAATCAAGCTGTCAACTCTTCGATGCAGTGGAAGGAATGCACCAAAAATACTCATGTACTCAGTGCCTCACCCGGCACCCCAATCTGACTATATTCTTGGGCCCCGACACCATCCTCCTCAGTCGCATGACGTTATCTGCAGAAGTACTCAGAGGCTTGGATACCCCACCTTTGAGGTTCGCAGTACAAGCGGGCAGCAAAATGGGTACAGCTCTCCTATCAGCCCATTTTTACAGTTACAGCGAATTTCGTGCTGCTCTTGCGTCCACAAGGGCTGCCTGCTTGTACCTAGGGACAAACAATTAGAGGTAGTGCATACAATCCAAGGCAGCATCGTTTAAATCAGCGATGTATTAATACGTGCACAGGCATCTACAAAACAATTCAAACAGGCATCTCTGCCTCTTTTTGGCCCAGGTTTGGACGGGGACTTGGAGCCTGGTATCATTTTGGTAATGAGCCGACACTTGAGCCAACAGGCACGGCCATTGATGGCGGAATGCCGATGGATGCTCAAAATACACACGTAAATACCTGGCTATTACTACCTAGCTAAGGAACCTACCTAGTAGTATTACTGCCAGTACACAAACAGAAGGATAATACATCTGCCGCAGAGTGGGTAGCAGCCTGAAACTTCCACGCCGTCAGACAAAGGAGGAATCTCCTATTATTAGGTTGAATGACCCTGCGCCTTGTAGGTGAGTGGTTGGCCTATCAAATAGCCATCCAAGGCCGTGGGGTTGTTACCTGCCCCGTAGCGCTCTGGGAGGATGCTGGAGCACAGGTCCTCTACCTACGGCATCATTCGCCGACGATGACAGTGCTAACTCAGGTTTTATTCGCTTTAATCCTCACGATATGATAATAAACGATAGATTATGATCAAATAGCCGCCAAATACCAAACTGAGCTATCCTTGAATGCATAAACCCATCCGAATGTTGCTATGGGAGTACCCCGCCAGTTTCGCTAGTCGTGTAACGATAACGATCCGATTAGGCCGTTTTGTTTATCGATAATGCACCACGAGGCAGGCGCGTGCATGGTACCGACCGTGTTGGGAATCCAACAGCCGACATCTAAGAAATGCTGTGTCACAATCCACAATATGCATTCAATACTCTAGATTCCTGATGTATGGATGCTTATTGTTCTATTTCTCTACCACAGAAAAGATTTTGATGTTTTTCGCTCCCGCTCTTCTCGTTCTCAACTTCAAACTCATGAACTCTACTCACATGATCAACAACCCGAGAGCCTTGTTTCTCCCCTCTTATTCTTATATTGACTAGGTCGGTATAAGACTCTGGGGAGCGCTTTACCTCCATACGGCGACAGCCATGGCTTCCCCTCTTAATGACGTTGAGATGCTGGATGCGGATCCCGCAGATGATGACAATCTTTCACTCACCTCTACGATCGCAGATGAAATCAACTCGGATGAAGAATGGACAGCTGAAGGCATAATTGCGGAAGGAAGGATGAATGATGTCAAGCACTGGCTCGTTGAATGGACAGGATACCCGCTGGCTGAGGCAACATGGGAGCCGAGGACTCATGTTCAAGGACAGCTCTTACGAACTTGGAGAAAACGAAAGGCACGACAAGAGCGTGGAGAGGAGCAGAGATTCGATCTCAACATTTGGCGAAACGCGTTGTCGGAACAGCTCCGTGCAAAGTACGCCCGCCATGAGAAGCGCAACGAGAAACGGTTGCGAATGGGGCTGGCACCAACCACATGGGAACAACCCGTGGATGAGTTGCTGGAACTGACCTTGGATTACTATCCCGAGTTTGAAACCAGGGATGAAAGTTCAGGCGAGGAAGACATGTCGAGCGGAGACGACGATGATGACGATGATGAGGATGCCAATGACGATGAGAAGGGCCGTAATCGGGAAAGGCCCGAGAACGCCGCATCGAACAGTCTGCAAACCAACCCTTTGAGTACCACCGAGCCTGATCATGACATGGCCAATGAACAAAGACCCCAAGAAGCCTTTGACGAATCACAAAGGATACATCCTCCTTCTTCCACACCCATGAGTGGCATTGCTCCAACTCCTAGTCCCGAACCCGCCCGAAACCTCCCCTTAACCTCTGGTATATCCTCACTGCCAGACGCAACGCCAAAGCCAACTCAAGAATTAACGCCAAAAACGCCAAAGATGCCCCTTGCTACTGCTTCTGCTCCTACCGAACCCCTCCCCAGCTCGGTACATAGTCAACCAGCCCAAAGTAGGAAAAATAATTCGACTTCAAATACGGAAGGTTTATCAAATAGCTTATCCAGATCCGGCAATGACAAGCCTACCGGTCTCAAGTCCCGGGGGAATCGAATCATCAACACCATGGGTGGGAGTGTCCCAGTGAATGTTTTTGCAGGTGGGAGCACTAGAAAAGCGCGTCCGACTCTCCTTGACGCTGCGTCTGACATTTCCAAGGAGCCTAAGCTTGTCAACCTTCGGCAACAAAGAATTATCCAGAAGAGGAGGAGAAATAAAGAAGACAATGCCCCTGCACAAATACCCAAACGACTCATTTCTCTCGATCCCAAAATTCGGGCTGGAGATTTGGATACCGGTCAGGCTACGAGGTCTTTGGAAATCCCACCATTCACAAAGCCCAAAAACTTGATTGAGACCTCACAAACCCCCCCAATACTATCAGCTACAAGCCCTACTTATCAAGGCCAAGATAATGAAACCGCACCCCGACCGAGGACGCTGAAAAGAAAGAAGTCTGTTCGTTTTGATGATTCTATCAGTTATCAGGAACCGACTTATGTGGAATCAGAAACTGAACTCTTCGTCTCCGAAGACTCTCGTATCTCTCACTTTCCACAGGAAGAACAGGATATTAATAGTCCCTTGGGGGCAGCTGGGTCAACTTTCAGGCCACCAACACCACCAAGAAATACTCACGTTTCTAGTCCACAGCCCTGGACCAGTAAAGAAACTCGAAGTGTCACGAAACGGTGCATGTTTGGACCAAAATCAATCAAGCATATTGACGTTATTTTCAAAAACATTCCAGAACAGACTTCGCATCCTTGGCTCTCTGAGTTCATATACTGTACTCAACTCGTTTTTAGCCAAGTGTGTATCGCATCGGACTTTAGCTCTCAGAGTCAAAATCTTCGTCAGGGGCAGAATTTGGCATCCGGCAGTTTGTTGTGTCCTACCGGCCATAGCGAATTTGAGAATCTCGCACAGCGCCTCAATATGGCTTCAAAGGGTGTAATGTTTTACTCAGAGAGATACTGCATTCTTATTTTCCCCGCCCTGTGCACAGATTGGGACTTTGAACTTGTTCCCAGTCACAATGCAGGCAATTTATTGAAGTTTATCATTTTTGAACCTACACCCCTCATGCACAAGGACTCGTTTGCAAGGAAGACTTTTCAAGAGTCACAGACACTTCCTCGGGGTGTGAGTCATTTCCTACAGCTTGATGCCAACAGATTAGCCCCGAAGCTACGTTTGAACCAAAGCGTACAGTCTCATCATGTTTTCATAGCCTTTCCAACACCGAGCAGGGTACAAGAAGCCAGGTTTATCTCCACTTGGCTCAGAGTTTCGACAAAGATTGATTTGCACGTATACTCAGCATCCATCCCGGGAGATTGGGCCAGATTTCGTGGGACAGGATTCGGCACTATTATCATCCATGAGGATGTGATATCGAAGATACGTCTTTTCCCAGAAATAGCGGAGATGATGAGAGAAACCGGACGCAACGGAAACTATGCAAGCTTTATATTTCAGCAAGCTTTGGCACAATTCTGCAGATTCCCGTCTTCGGTGCAGAAATCGCAAGTGGGAGATATTATGCTCTATAGGATTCTTCCTTCACACAAAGTATTTATGATGACGCCAAGCTTCATATTATCTCAGCCCCAAGAAGCCTACGATTTTGTCAGATGGTTCAAGAATGATCAGCTTACCAACAGAACATCATATAGATCCAAGCTTGCAGTTTGTTTTGATATCAATGACTGGGTTCGGGAGCTGGCTACTGGAGAAGCAACAAGACAAAACAGAGTTCACAGTCAAGACATTCAGGCCTGGCTGAATCTATGGCAGCAAATTGAAGACTTGATGGCAAAATCGGCGAAGGAAGGCGACACGAATAACTTTCTTGTATTTGCCCCTGAGAGTATCGATGGGAATGACGAACAGAGCCTTGTGAATTGGTTCGGTTCATGGACTGTCAACTACCTCGATACGGCGAGCAGATTCTTCGTACTAGGATCAAACTGTAACGAAGTATTCCGAATGACGAGGAAAATGAAAACTCTGGAATATGCGGACGACGCGGACGAGGATCAGCTCGGTGTGGCTCGCGAGGCGACCCTCGATGCGGCAAGCCAAGTACTCGATATGACAATCTCGCAGACGCCATCCGTCAGCAACCCTCAAGGGGTTATAAGTGCCCCGACAGGTCCCAAGGGATCTCTCCAACTCATTGAAAATGACAGTGCATCTGCCATCAGATCCCATATCCAAATGCTAACTCAACGATGTTATTCGTTGGCCTTAATTTACAATCGCCCCGTCGCCTACTGGCATACGGACATGCCCTGGCACTTCGGGGATATAAGCTCGGAATTTGCTCCCTATTCCAATTGGTTTTCGTTCTTCAATACCCTCAATATTGACTCTAAAGCGAAGAACACATACATGGGGTTCTTCTACACAGTTACCAATACATGGAAATCAGACGAAGCAGTTGCAGATCGAACCCCTATACGAGATCCAGCACGACGTCCATGGATAGCGATTTTCCGTCCCAGGGCGCCACATATGAGACCCTGGAGATCAACAGAATTGTTAATATGGGACCCAGGATACAGCAAAAAATTCCTCAATAGCCCGCGAATCTATGAACACGACCTCATCGAGGCTCAACAAGAGTTGATAAAGCTCGTCGCTCAGGAGAACCGGATAAAGAACCCGAGCCTACCGTTCGACAAAGTATGGTTGGCCGGCCGAGATAGGAGCTTCCAGTCAGAATATAGCCATCCTCTAGATGTGTGCCTGGACACACTAAAGGCTTTCGGAAATGAATTGAGAACATGGCTTCCTTCGCCTAAAGAGAAAATGCCCAGCAGAGGATGGCGGTGTGTCGAGGAGAACGCGGGGTCGGTTGAAGAGATACAGCCTATACAACCTTTAATAATCGACGAGAAGGAGGTCGAGCCCGACCAGAAACTGAATATCATCTTTCACCCTCCACCAGGACGCCAATCGGACCAACCAAGCAAATGCGAAAACCTTCTCTACAGGGAGGTGATGCGAGCTGCCTCTCAACCATCATCCGACGGCAACTTCACGTACAGATTCCTTCCAACACACGATTGGTACTCCCGCCAACAGGAAGAAGACAGGGCCTTCTCTCACATTTATGTCGAATCTTGGAAAAAAATATTTTCTATGCTACAGATCAAAGAAGGCAAACATGCGAAGCAGGCAGACACGGCGAGTCGTGATTCAGAATAGTTAGTAAGATAAGGGGGTTGTTG